TCTATCTATCTATCTATCTATCTATCTATCTATCTATCTATCTATCTGTTTTTTGAGACCCAGGATTTCTTTCTGTATAACACCGGCTGTCCTGGAACTAGCTCTGTAGACCAGGCTGGCCTCTAACACACAGAGGTCTACCAACCTCTGCCTCCTGAGTGCTGGGATTAAAGGCATGTACCACCACTTGGTTTATTTTGCTTTTTTAATCTTTTATAAATGCAGTGGAGAACAGGCTTTTTGAGGTTGTCCCCTTGGCCATAGGTAGATGTTATGGCTCAGTTTTTAATAAGAATATTACAATGGCCAAAACACTCACTGTTTTACAGTGAAAAACATATATGCTTAACTCTTTTTTGTTTGTTTATTTTTTGTTTTTCAAGACAGGGTTTCTCTGTGTAGCCCTGGCCGTCCTAGAACTCACTCTGTAGACCAGGCTGGCCTCGAACTCAGAAATCCACCTGCCTCTGCCTCCCAAGTGCTGGGATTAAAGGCATGTGCCACCACCGCCCGGCATATTCTTAACTCTTAACTAAGAGTTAAGAAACACTTTTCTAGAAATCGCACAGGGGACTTTCTGGCCTATCACAGCATTCCAGGAATTGTTAGTTTCAAAATCAATCCCTCATTTAAATTTTTGGTTGAAGGCACTTCCTGTACTGCTACAGGACTTGAATTCAGTTCCCAGAACCTACATGAGGCAGCTTACAATTGCCTGTGACTACAGCCCAGGGTAAAGGATCAATCCAACACCAAGAGCTTCTAAGGACATCTGCAGTCATGTGTGTACTCTGTCACTCAGACACACATGTATACACATAACGAAAAAAGTTTATGATTCTGGGCCAGTTCACAAGACTGTAGCTCATAAAGCCAAACTTGCAAGAGGCAGAATTTGTGTCTTGCACCAAGTGATGCTCACATCTTATACACCAGGAGGTTGTCATCATCAGAGATACTCTTGTCATAGAGCATTGGAAAAGGGAAAGAAAATGTTTATAAAGCCATCCAAGATGGGGTTCTACAGAAGCCTTCCCCAGATCAGCACCTTTAGAGCCCTACATGGAGCCTCTTCTCAGGCCATGCCATCCTGGCAACTCTAGTGGACATCTGGGCATCGGAAACCAGAACTGTAATCTGACTGACAAGGAGGTGAAGTTTTCTCACCTATGAAGTGTAGTTTACAGTGCCTGCTTTATACATATTAAAATGGTTAAAATGTTAAGTGACCATATAAAGTGAGTAAAGCCAGAGAGAGCGAGGATTATAAAAATCCACTTAAAAGTTTGAGCTTTGAAAATTGTAGATATTTCACTTGATGTATTGAAGAATTTTAAGTAGCACTTTCTAAATGAAACAAAGTCAGAAAGAGGTTTTTTTATTATGTTTTTTTAATGCAGCAAGATTTATCCAGGCATGATAGGTCATACCTTTGATCACAAACAACTGGGAGGCAGAGGTAGGGGGTATCTTTGTGAATTCAAGGCCATCCTTGTCTACATAGAGAGTTCCAGGACAACCAGGGCTACATAGAGAGATCCTGTCTCAAACAAACAAACAAACAAACAAACAAAAACAAAAAAACAAACCTACCTTGAAATACGTAGTAAAGACTAAGCTTCAATGGTTATATTCTGTATCATACAAGGTGTTCATATCAATAAACACAAAGAAGATAATTCTGTAAATTTTAGTGCAGTTAATGTTTATTTGGGGGTGTTGTGTTTGAGACAGGGTTTCTCTGTGTAACCCTGGCTGTCCTGGAACTCAATCTGTTTGCAAATCAGGCTGGCCTCGAACTCAGAGATCCACCTCTCTCTGACTGCCAAGTGCTAGGGTCAAAGGCATGTGCCCCCACCGCCCAGCTCAGTTAATTTTTTTTTAACTTTTGTGTTTTAAACATACAGCAAAAAAAATGCTGAGCATAAGCACAAGGTTATATTTATATTGCCACAGAAATGTAAAGTCTGGGATTCTTTAGTTTGTTTTTTTGGGTGTTTTTCTTTTTGGTTTTTTTCGAGATAGGGTTTCTCTTTGTAGTTCTGGCTGTCCTGGAACTCACTGTGTAGACCAGGATGGCCTCGAACTCAGAAATCCGCCTGCCTCTGCCTCCCAAGTGCTGGGATTAAAGGGGTGCGACACTACTGCCTGGCTGGTTTTTATTTTATTTACTCTATATGAGCACATACTTTGCTTGTCCATATGTCTGTGTGTCAGAGTGTCAAGTGGGTGCAGAGAACTGAACCCAGGTCCCCTGTAAGAACAAGTGCTCTTACCCACTGAACACATTATCTCCCAGGAGTATCTTGTATCCTCTGTTCTGAACCCTAGAGTTCAAACTGTACTTATGTCCTGCTTCCTTATACTTTGTTTTGAACAATAAGAAGACACATTTTGAGTAATCAGATATGACATGTTTTTTTACTATGTACATAAATAGGACTCCTCTCTTTTTAACGTTTTCACACTTCAAGAGTTAAAATTAAAATTTTTGATCTATATGTTTGTATTACATTTAAAGTATGTACCTCATTAAGTTAGAAATTTAAGTTTTAATTTTATAGTCAATGCAACACTGAACCAGTACATTCTGTGACCTTTTATAGTTTTAGAGGATTTTGCCAAAATGATTACAGTAAAATGTTTTGTTTGCTCAATCCGTTTATTTGAGCATTCTGTTTTGTTTTGTTTTTTCGAGACAGGGTTTCTCTGTGTAGCCCTGGCTGTCCTGAAACTCACTCTGTAGACCAAGCTGGCCTCGAACTCAGAAATCCGCCTGCCTTTGCCTCCCGAGTGCTGGGATTAAAGGCGTGCGCCACCACTGCCGGCCTTATTTGAGCATTCTAACTGAAACCAGTGTGTTGTTTATCCAGGCTGTGTGTTTCAGTATTTGGGAAATGGATTTTCCAAGTCAGCATCAAAAATAACTAGTGTTCTTTCTCCTAGGGATAATAATGGTTGGAGTTATCGTTGTCTCCAAGAAGACAGGCATAAACCCTGACAATGTGGCCACACCTATTGCTGCTAGTTTTGGTGATCTGATAACTCTTGCCATATTAGCTTGGATAAGTCAGGGTTTATACTCCTGTCTTGGTAAGTTAACTTGGAACTAAACATGGCATTATTCAGGGTCTTTAAGAGAAATGTAAAATGTCACAAATCCAATGGTGACCTTCATCTGTTAGAACTAGGGGTAAAATTGATTAGAACACTGTAGCATGTATTTAATCTGTGTTGTGGTCCTCAGACATTGACCAGAACACTGTAGACTGTATGTTTATTCCATGTTGTAGTTCTCAAACACTGACTGGAACACTGTAGCCTATATGTTTTTTATGTGTTGTGGTTCTCAGTATATTCTTTTCCTTACTGAGTTCAGAACTCTGAGGTAATGTTTATCTTCTTTAATCTTTTTCCTTTCTGCCCCATCCCCTGCTTTTCTTTCTTGAGGCAGCCTCTTCATGTAACCTGAGGTTATCCTCAAACTTGCCTTCACATTCCACCTCCCAAGTATCCGGTTACAACACCTAGGTATCCTTTGTAACTTCAGCTGAGAAAATAGAGGATCATAGGAGTTACATATGATACCCAGCTTTATTCATTCCTGGTATTGTAGTTGAACACAAGCCTGTTATACTCCATAATTTCTGTGCTTTCTTCTAGTAGGATAGCCAGTTAGGAGTTACCCTCTACTGTTTTGTTACATGTTTCAAACATGAGAATACAGGGTTATAAACGTGTGTATGTGTGTGTGTGTGTTTTAATTTACCAATGGTTATTATTTCCACTGGAGAAGGGAGCTTGTCTAGGCAGGCATGATGGCACATACTCGCAATCCTAGCACTTGGGTCGCTGAGGCAGGAGGATTGTGAGTTTGGGACCCTGTCATCAAGAGGAAGCTGTAGGAGCCCAAACAGGATGCTCAGTGCCCTTTGACTCACTTTGAATTAGAGAAGTTTCTCCTGCTGTGAGGGGGCTAAGAGAAAAGGAATACACAAGGGGATGAAGAGTTTCTCCTAGCACCATTAAGAGGATATACTTGCCTGCCACAGAGTAACTGGGCGTAATACTACAAGCCTGCAATCCCAGCACCCACATGGCAGCTCACAAACAACTGTAATTCCAGTCATAGATGATCTGGTGGCCTCTTCTGGCCTCCTTGTGTATCAGGCATGCACATGGTATATATACAGACATCCTTGCAGTTAAAACACCCATACAGGTTAAATAAATGAATGACATCATCATAATTGATAGCTTATTTCTCTGCTTGTGAAAAGAGTAGTTCAAGCCAGAATAAATCATATTAAGTGTAGATTTATTGGGAAGCTGTTCTTGGTGAATTTACTGGCCCCAAGGACCAAGTCACCATGGGGTGGGGTCTGAGAGAAAGGACACCATGCAGAGAGGAGGAGCAGGAGGAGGAAAAAATGAAGGAGGAGGAAGAGAAGGAGGAAGAGGGGAGGGCGGAATCCAAAATGTCTGGATTTTATCAGGAAGAGCCTCTGAGGGGAAGGGCGGCCTAACCCCTGGGCTAGAAAATTCAGGGTTGGGGACAGGGTACCACAGGCAGGGATGAAGGATGCTGGGAAAATCTGGAGGCCAGGTCTGCTTTAATATGTAAAATACACACCTCAGTCCCTTGTCCTGGAGTCTCAAACTTAACAATAATGTGTTGTTGAAAGCTTTTAATATTTTGAGTGTTATGTGGTACCACATTAAGTTTGGGTCTTGGTAGGGTCTCACTATGTATCTGAGGCTGCTTCTCAAACTCATACTTCTTCAGCTTTCTGAGTCCTTTGATCATGGATGTGAACCCATACATCCAACATCACTTGGTCTGTTTGTTCTGGGGAGTTGAGGCTTGAACCCCAAACCTTGCACAGTGATCCAGTGATCTTAACGTGAGTTTGTAGTAAAAGCAAACACAGTGTTCCATAATCTTAGACAACAACGTTATTGAATGTTGTTTAGGATAGTTCAAGCCTTTACTTGCCTTCTGAAAGTTGGCCTAATGTCATTCAGTTTGCAGTGTTATGGGTCCTTTTCATTTCATCTGTGTAATTGGTGCCCCCCAGGGATTTCCTTTTCAAATGGGCTACTGGTTAATTCCACAATTGATTTAATAGTTTACAGGTGTTCTGAGACTTCATTTGTGTTTGGGTTGCTAAAGTGGCAGCATCCTGAGCACTAGGGGGCCTCAGAAGCTCAGTGTTCTGAATACCAAGATTACAAGGAGGCACATTTAACTTTTAAGATCCCATTCATCTTGCTGAGAAGCCTGGCCCTTGGAAGCAAAGTTTAATTTCTGAACTACTCTGGAAACACTGAGCAGTGTTTAGGGAGGAAAGGAGGCTCCTTTTGGAAGTTGTAAGCTTTGGCTATAGAGACTCCATCCTACATGGCTCAGAGGCTACCAACCACACTGGTCGATGAACTGGACACAGGAAAAATTCCATCGGATCAGTTCACGAAGAGGATACAGCAGTTGTAAATCTGTATGTTCCCAATGTCAGTGCTTCGAAATATGTAAAAGTTAATAACAGGTTGGAAGGGAAGAGGAGGAACAACACAAGAACAGTGGGGACTCCAGCACCCCCCTTTCCACAATGGGTAGGTAGGTCATCCGGATGGAAGCCCAGTGAAGAAATGCTGGTTCCCAGGAGCCTGGGCAGTCTACAAAGTGTTCCAGTCAGCAGCCAGACGATGTGTTTTCTTCTTGTGTGCGAGGGGACTTTCGTTTTTTGTTTTGTTTTCGAGACAGGGTTTCTCTGTGTAGCCCTGGCTGTCAAAGAACTCACTCTGTAGACCAGGCTGGCCTCAAACTCAGAAATCTGCCTGCCTCTGCCAACCAAGTGCTAGGATTAAAGGCGTATGTCACCACTGCCTGGCTGCATGGGGACTTACACCCCATGACAAGCCACGAGACAAATGCTAACACACTTAGGAAGCAGACATCGTGTCCTGCCTTGTGTCACTATGATGGTGTGAGACTGGAAAGTTGAAAGTAGATAAGTATATGCAAATTCAACAGGATGCCCCCCAACTAGCGCCTGGTGGGAGAACTCAAATCGGAAAGTAAACATCTTAAGCCAGATGAGCCTGGAGACAGGCTCCATAACCCACTGGATGGAGCACAGGCAGGTCTAGGGAGGAGACTCATAGCTATAAACACCTACATTAGAGAAGATGGCAGGCAGCTGAATACCACACAGGTCTAGTTCAGGTGGAGAGAAAAGAGGAGCTGTCGTAGTGTGAACTCTGGTTCATAGGAATAAGGTGTGGTTTGCTGGGGAAGTGGAAAGGCATATATCCATTCATAGGGAACTCGTTACCCATACAGTAATCTTGGAAGCTATTAGAATCCATCACCGAGCCTGCAACTGGAATAACAAGATAGCGGTTGCTGCTATTCCCATTTTCTTGTTTCTTGTTTCCAGATTTCTTTCTAAAGCAGAGTTGGAGTTTCTCAAGGGAACATTTTCATGTGGATTTATGCTTTGGCATCAGGGGAGAGAACACATGGAGGAGAAGGGCAATATCTACCTAAGACACTGGTGTGGGCTGAGTTGTGCTCAGGTGTCTTTAGCAGTGGCCCCATGTAGGAGTTTGACTTCTAGAGTTTAAAGTTTTTCTGAGGAACTCCATGTTCTTTTAGTGAATGGGACCTGAGGTGAGGTCATTCCTGAGGCGCATGGGAGAGGAGTACAGGCTGATGAGGTAAAGCCACAGGCCACGTGGGTGGAGGACACCCCTACTGTACCAGGCACTAAGGGAGTGGATGGGTAAGTTCTAACTGAAGGACATTGATGATGGTGTGTGTGAGGTTCTCCGTCTACGTCTGGGACAAGAGTGGGGTTCAACTCACAGGTCATGACATGCACTTTGACCTTAGCATGGGTCACGGCTATTTCATCATCATGTTTGCAGCATCTCTGTAAAAAGGGATATTGTCTCTGTGTATCCAGTCTTCACAGCAAGGGAAGTAAAGTGCTTAAACTTACTTGCTGATTGATACCTGTACACTTTCAGAAGAGCTACACACATAAAAAGAGCCCTAAAAGCCCACATTCACACCCTCAGCCCCACCCAGCATTGGTGCTGCATCCTGTATTTCTCCTTTTCTGCTTGCCTTCCTTTAGTATTAAAGCCCTTGAAAGCCAGGTAGCACCTACTATGCAGCTCTCCCTCCTGTGTGAACAGCTCAGTGGTGGTTTCCTGAGATCAGTCTTTACCATGTTCCAATTCCAGGAAGTCTCACCACCTCCAGAGAAGCCTGGTGTATGTGAGTGTGGTCCGCAGGCTGCTCTCCCCTGGCTCCTGGTAAAGGCTAATCTCCCCCAGCTGGCTGAATTTGCTTCTTTTGGAGATTTCATGCAAACAGGATCATAATATGTGACCTTTGATGCCTGGCTTCTTTCTCCTAGTATGGTATATTCAGGGTTTGCCTATATTTTCAGAGCGCCAGGGTCTAATCTTCATTGCTGAAGAACATCCCAGGATAGAATGGTAACATGTTGGAGTAGCAGTCTATTGGATGGATATGCTGCACTTTCTTCACTAACCACTGTAAATGCCTAGGTCATTTCCACCTTTACACTTCTGCCAATAAAGCTGTGGTGAGCATTCACAAGCTTATACCTGAACATGCCTGGTTTCAGTTCTCTTGAGAGATATGTAGATACAGCGTTTGGGTTATGTGGTAACTTAGTTTAATGTTTTGTGGATCCACATGGGTACTCATTATTTTTAATTTTTTCCCTCCTCTTTGAGAACAGGCCAGCAGTGAGTGGTGGGGGGCGGGGAGTGCCTTTCTCAGCTTCCTGATCACTCCTGACAGTTAGGTTGAGGATAAAGTGGTTAAAGCCTGCAGTGAAGCTTACATTAGGACCTGACCATCCTGAGGTGCACTACCCTGGCAGGAGAGTTCCTTTCTTTTGTGCTTAGTGCTTTGGAGCCTTTTAGCTTCTCCTTGGTGCTGTGGAGATTGTTGGCAGCTTTAGGTGTTTTGTGAGTTAAAAATGTTTCCAATTGGTTTACAATAAATTCATTTTTTTCATCTTTAAAAAAGCAATAGAGAGGACCAATGAAATGACTCCGCAGGTAAGGCCTTGCTGCCAAGCCTGGTTTTGGTCCTAAGGTGGAAGGATGAAACTCCAGAGGCTCTTCCAGAGGGCTTTCCAGGGTTCAATTCCCAGCAGCCACATGGTGGCTCACGATCATCTAAACAAACAAAAAATCCAAGAAGTAATGGAGTAACAACTAAAGTATATATTAAATGTTTATTCTAAAAATGTTCATGTTTTATATTTTAAGAAATCTTACTATAGTATGTGTTCTTCCTGCATGTATGTCTGGGAACCACATGTATGAAGTGTCTATGGAGGTCAGAAGATGGAACCAGTCCCCTAGAACTGGAGTTTCAGATGGTTGTAAACTGTTGTGCAGCTGCTGGGACTCAAACCCAGATCCTCTGGAAGAGCAGCCAGTGCTCTAACCATTGGACCATCTCTCCAGCCCTTTTGTTTTCCTTTATGGAAAGTTTACGTGTGTGTGTGTGTGTGTGTGTGTGTGTGTGTGT